TGGCTCAAAAGTAAGATCATGTCTCCATAACTGATCTTATTTACTTATGGGTCTACTATTTGTGTTCATCCAAGCATCATTTCTCATCAGTTTCAGGAAATGTTCTGTATTTATATGAAAATAATTTCACTGACCGAACAGCAGAACAGTTTTCACACAGCCACTTTTCCTTATACAGGTTGAGCATCCCAAATCTGAAGATCAGAGATGCTCCAAAATCTAAAACTTTTTGAACAGCAACATGACACTCAAAGGAAATGTTCTTTCAGGTTTTCGATATTTGTATAAGTATAATGTAAATATTCCAAAATCTGAAAAAAATCCGAAATCCAAAACATTTCTGGTCCCGATCATTTTGGTTAAGGGACACTCAATCTGTACTGACTGACGTCCATACTGGCTCTCTCTGGTGAGCACTGACCCATGTTTGTAGTTAGCACCCAGGATACACCTTCTGACTACTGAAAAAGCCAAAATTAGTGTTCTTGTTTTGGAAATGGAATTTATAATCTTGGCTTCATCTAATCCATTCTCTCAATCCTGATGTGATGGAAAGAACATTAAAATATATGAAAATTAGCTAGAAAGATATGCATTATTCTATTCAGGAGTAGAATAGTAGGTGTTAGAAAAGTCTGATTAAATTGTTTCATGTAATGAGGAATTTTTTAAAAAATCTTACATAACATGAAATCCATAGGTTGGGAGTGGTGCCTACAGTTCTAGGTCACATGTCCTCCTTAAACCAAGTACTAATAGCCACATGCATGGCTTGCCTCAGGAAGTGATTGCTCCTAAAGCTTGCTGTAGGGCCATCCTGCCCTCACTCAGAACTGGGGGTGTGAGCGCAGGGTCGGGGGGCAGGCACTGGGAAGAAGAGGGGAGTGGGTGTTCAATAGGCCCCAACAGGCTTCTCATGCGCTCTGAACTCGGAGAGGGGGGTCGCATCTGGGGAGGGCACTGGGCCTAGGAGTGGAAGTTGAGGTTCTGTTTTGTTCAAACAAGACTGGGAAACAAATATAACAACTGGTCACAACTGTGTCTTCTGGGTGGTCAGAATATAAGTTTAGGTTTGTTATCTTTTGTGGGTTTTGGGTTTTTTTTTTCAATAGTCCTAAAAAAATTGTTTTAACACACTACTTTAAAAAGGGAGGACATTAGAATAGAAGTGAGAGACAGACCAGTGCTCCACAATAACTCTTCTATCTATGACATCTGTAGGTAGGTATCCTCTACTCTGTGCTCCATTTTATTTACAGAATGTGAATCATGTCACCAGTCCTTCCTGTTGCCTAGGTTTTTTACAAGGATGAAAATAAAAGGTGAAAGGCTTTTTAAATTATAAAATACTTAACAAGCACAAGTATTCCATTTACATTCATAATTTTAGAAACTTTTTGCTGGAAGGAATGTGTTTCACACAATTTCCCAAAATGGTAGAACTAAAGTAAACTTGGATTTTTTTCAACTCCCCATAGTTATTTTTGCTCTGAATCACACAGCCATTTACTCCCCCCTTTATTGATTTGAGATGCATCCTTGGTAGAGCCAGATTACACTTAACTAATTATGTCACATGTTTGACATGTGACAGCTATACCTAGAAACTCAGAATAATAATCTTATAGTCACATGAATCTTCTACTTTTTGTCTCCTTTTTAGGTGAATGGTGATATTCCCCCTCGGCTAAAAAAGAGTGCTCATGAAATCATCCTCGACTTCATCAGATCAAGACCTCCTTTAAATCCAGTAAGTAATTTGACATGTTACTCTTTTTTTTTT